CAATAACGTTATGGATATTCCACAGAAACATCCGGATCCGGGCGGACTTTCGAAGTTCCACGGTGGATCATCGGAGATACTGGCAGTGAGTGTCACAGTAAGATTCTGGCTGGAGTCGGTTGCATTGTCAGCCACAGGAAAAACTGATGGGGTATTGCATACGGTCAAAGACATTTCCTGACAGGCTTGGTGTAATCTGGCATGGTATTCCATCCAGAATACTACAATTTATTACGTACAAAATGAGCGGCGGCCGTATGAGTGCACATGCCGCATGGGCTGGCCAGAGTTATGCAGATTTTGTCCGAAATCGCGAAGCCGAATGACGCACTTGTGCCGGTGTTATCGATATCGTATAATGTTTAAGTTTGCCTTGACGATCAGCATACAAACGATTCAAGCGTTACGTGCACCCGCCAAACATTTTGGTCGCTATACAGTATTGTTGACATTACAAACATAATGTTTGCAGGTGCGTTACCAGAAAACATGCACTACGCAAGCACAAAACGCTGCATCTTATATTCCCATGAGAAACAGCGTTTTATCAAGTTCATACCATTATGTAACTTCAGCGCTTCTGTGTTCTGATGGCATTTTCCTCCTTGGAGAACTACATATGGCCTGAAAAATAAAAAACACGGCAAAACTTAACCGACGTGTAAACCATGGAAACGAATTGTGTCGACAGTGTAATTTCAATATTTCTGCTTAGTAATTACGAATAAGTCCCTAATTGTAACTGAACGCTTAAGCGGTGCTTGCTGGGAAAAATAAACTGCGTAGACTGAAAAGGGCAGAAATGAAAGTGGTTTACAGCACAGACTACAGAGTACAGTAAGTATGGCGAACGCAGTTAAGGGGATAGCTACAAGGGCTTATTCATAAACACTTCATTTCCGAAAAAATTCACTGCTAGAACAAAAGTTGTTCTGTCTGCTCTGCAGAGGACAGTTGAGAGGTAAGATGAAACGGTTTCAAAATATGAATTTTCAAAGTAATTATCCCTCTGCCATACATCTGCGTTTAGTGATCGGCCCGGCTTACCATAGCGCATGCGCGAGTAATTGCTGCGCGGCAGTAAGAACAAACACTGATGCCGAACGGCCTTTTGAAGTCAATCATTTGTACCCGTAGTGTATCTCACTGGTCCGTCGTAAAACTGGCCAGTGCGCCACTAATTTAATCAAACGAAAGTGCTGATACTCAGTTGATGGTTGATTTATCCTAAATTCTGTGTTGCACCGTACTGACTAGTTAATTTTTAGGCGTGATGTTTTAAAATTGAACTTTAAACTGTTTGCTCAAACCCGTTCTTACCGGTTCTGAGTTGAGAATTTTTCTCGATTTAAATTGGATAGCTACAGTAGTATGGATGTTAAAACAGATAATGTTTTCCACAAATGCAAAACAAAGGGGCTTGTATAACTGAATTAAGTCAGCGTAGCTATACCCTTAAGTCAACGTAGCTATACCCTTAAGGTCACGAATTTGTTATAGCGTCTGCTAATCTGTTCAAGGCGATCGGCAGACAAACTGTATAATCGAACGGGAGAAAGCCTGTTCTCTGTTTCAACATTCAAGCCTCGAGATTCAACGCGGAAATGCAGTGCTCATTATTTAGCCTAACTCGCGTTAGGCCCATGCTCAAACTTGGACTTGGACTCGGACTTGGATCACTAAAACTCGGACTCGGACCACACTTGGACTTCTAAACTTGGACTTGGACTCTTCAACTTGGACTTTTTACTTGGACTTTAACAACTTGGATCTAAACTTGGACCTGGGCTCTTCGACTTGGACTTTTCTTGGGTTTCTTAGGTATCTCAGGATTGTTAGGTTTCTTAGGTTTCTTAGGTTTCTTTGGTTTCTTTGGTTTCTTAGGTTTTTTAGGTTTCTTAGGTTTCTTAGGTTTCTTAGGTACATAAGCACCATGTACAGTACAAGCACCATGTGCAGCCACAACGTCATGCTCCAGCCGGATGACGGCAGCAAGTACAGGGAATGCAGAAATGCGCTACCGCTACCCCCTCGTATTAGTCGTCTAGCTGCTAAACATTCTGGTTGTCAAGCAATTTGTTTTGGAATCCATGCGCATAATCAGGAATCCAATTCATGCGCAGATTACCTTTCCGGTAATTGCGTCAAATGTGTGGAGCGCAGCAGTGAAGAAGACTACATTAGCTTCCAAAAGGGGCTCCAGTCAGTGATTTACTGCAACAAATTTACGATATTTCCCAGTGATTGTATAATTTTCCAGTGAAATATGTTACGGTTATAACCGTAACATGATTAGGTGCATGTCGAACATTGGCCGCATTGGTGGGAAACAAGCGGTGATGTATTCGCCCGCTTGCCTGAAGCAGCACGGCGATGTCCAACACGAACTACTGCATGTCTTGGGATTTTTTCACGAACATTCCCGATCGGACAGGGACGAATATGTTATCATCATCTGGGACAACATTGCCAAAAGTACTCCTTGGTGTTATGGCTTATTGTCACTATCGGCTGTGCAGGCGATAAGGAGCAGTTTGCCAAGCACGAAGACGGCAACACGTACGGACTGCCGTACGACTACGAATCGGTCATGCATTATAAGCACAACGCCTTCGCTAAGGACAGTGGTATCCCGACGATTCTCCCAACAAACAAAAAGTCCAGAATCGGGCAGAATAAAGACCAGAGTCCGCTGGATGTCGTCAGAATACACCGAAGGTTTCGGTGTGCGATTGCCGATCCGAAAAGCTTTGCAGGTAAATCTGATGACTTCTACAAGCTAAGGAGTTTAGGGTGCTGTGACCATACCTTCACACCTTAAGGTGTGACGATCACTGCTTTAGGTCGCAAAGCTTTTAGCACCTAAATCTTGAAAATTAGTTGTTCTCGGCTCCTGTTCCAGCAACAATAAATTACGTTTTCTTCGGCTGCGGTCGTTTGGTGCCGATTTCGTTAGCATCGCAGCCTAATCGTGCCGGGTATGGTCAAGAGCACCAGGCGGTTCTCCTATCCAACATGCATGTATCCAACATGTAAGTTGCGCATGCAGACCACATTTCTTTCTACCTTTGCATTGTGTCGACAGGTAACGACAACGATAACAACGAAAAAGCCAATAATTTGTGCAGGCACATACTGAGCAACAGAGCGACTGCAGCACGGGTACCAACGGCTCTTAATGGTGGTTTCGAGAACCCGGCCGCCATCTGCTGAATTTCAGTCGAACTGGCGAGCTTGCTACAGTTGACGTCAAGCGCTTGGGTACGTATATGTGCAGTTATCAAGGGGAAATTCCTGGTTGTGGCCGTTGACCGTGAACTGGGGGCGACATTAAAAACCACTGGATTTAGTGGTTGTAGAAAATTTTTACGTACGCTGTGCAGGGAAATTATCACTTAACTGCAAGACATTTGCGCGTATTCCGGCGAATCCTGCACGAACAGTTTATATCATGGGCTGCCTATGTCTTCCGTAGAAGATCTTAAAACTTTTTAACACGAAATATTTATGGCATGACAGCGGTGCTCATACAGTACACTATATGTTTACGGATATGGTGGTGCAGTCGAATCTCAACGCCGATTATACTCGTAGGACTAACTTTACCCCTTATTTATTTTGTTCTTCCATGAAATTCCGGTAAAAGCCGAAATATGCTGAATTATGGATAAGTTTTCTACGTCTTACAGTACCAGTAGTCTCGTATAATAACGAGCATAGTTTGTCCATAACACAAGATATTTGTAATAACTGGGCGTCACAAAAGACTGGACATCGACTTGTTGATCTGGACGATGGCGATCGCCTTAGCTTCAACAATTTCCAAATTATTTGTCATCAGCAACTGCATTTCCACTCGTACCAGCCAAAAGCTCACCATACTCCGCTTCTCTAATTTGCTGTCCTTCCGACTGGTCCATTGCTATGGACTGGAATGAAAGGGACTTTAGCCAAACAAAAAAATATCAGAGAAATCGCTTTTGCGGACACTACTATGGAGATCTTGGAAGAAGGGACATTTACCGATCTGCCCGGTTTGCGACTGTTGACCCTGGAGGACGACATGCACAAAATGGGCGTTTTCAGGCGGCAGATTCGTGAGTACCTGAAGAAGTTGCACTGCGGTTGTGAGTTCCAGTGGTATCGTGATTGGTGGAAAATAATCGCCAGCTGCTGCGCCGCGAAGACGAAGGCGGCGAAGTGTACTTCATTGCGGATTCATGGAGGAGCGCAGCTTATAGTAAAAAGGACATTCATCTACCTACTGACTGTTCGATAAACCCCTTAATTCCCACTTTGCCAGCCTCCATTGATCACACACAGTACCGATTTTCCATCAACGTACCGAACTGTAAGTACCACCAAACTTGTAATAGTTCTTGCCGCAGTATATAAAAATAGTAATCATCATAAACGCTAGCATAATTGTACGTGTGGTGGGCCTGCTGGTACTATACTTGTACTGACCGTGAGTTGTTATTTGATCACAACCGATAATCGGCGGCGTACCAGTCACCATTCCACACCGTTGCAATTGTGGTGAATGGGCCGATGCGCGAGGATACCATGGCCTGAGTTGTAAAAAAAAAAGCCGGGGCCGGAAGCCCAGGCACAGCTGCATCAATGTCACTTTAAAGCGCGCCTTTGCTTCCGCCGGTATTGAAACGGAACTGGGAACCACCTGGTACCACCTAACCAATGGCAGCGCCGACAGGTGACTTTGGTCCCATGGGAAAGAGGAAAGATGTAGACCTGGGACGCCACATGTGTGCACGGTAGCTTTGTCGCACATCGCGGCAACATCAAAGCAAGAGGGCAGCCGCGGCGTCTGAAGCAGGATAAAGTGGCTAAGTATCGGGGAACTCACTCGAGATTACCTGCTCCGCGCATTTGGCGTCGAAACACTTGGACCACTCGGACCGGATGCTTCTCGTTTGGTGACCGAAGTCGGGAAGATGATACAACAGGAAACATGCGAGGTACGGGCGACGGAAATTTCGCGCCAACGGATCAGCATTGACGTCAGGAACGCGGCCTCTGTCATGGAACAGCACCAGCATCGGCCAACAGACGAAATGTTCTGTGGTTAGGCGCCCATTTCCGTAGTCGTCGGCTGAGGCTGTGTATTCAGTACAATTCTTTCACTTTATGGAAACTTGTGACTGTATTGTATCGCCAATTGAAATAATCACCATTTTAACCGATATTATTATTATTCATCGTGGAGCAGGTACAGTGAAACTTATCTACAACATACACCCTCCGTTCCAGGCTTTCTGAATGTTACAGAGGGGTGTATGTTATACTACAAGCACTACTACCCAGGGGCACTTCCTCAGGAGCTCAGCCGCAGCCCCGGGGTGGTACTTAACCAAAAAATTAACAAAATATCAGAGTATGGGCATTTTTGGTCTGAATGTTGGTTTTGCTGCCCTTTGTATGCTTGGAGTTGAAAGATCAGGTACTAAACAGATTAAAAACAGAAGCCGGAACTTTCTTTAGAAACACCGAAATGGTTTTTTCTCCAGCTCAGTCAGCCGTATGTTATGCAGGGGTTGAATAAGCTGGTGAAAATGTTACCAGTTCCATAAAAGGTGTATGTTATAGCTGTAAAGGTGAATGTTAGACAGAGAACTGCCCTGTGTTATAGTCTACCGGACGGTTTGGTTCCTAGCCTCATGTATGCAGTAAAGGGGTGAATGTTATAGGAAGGTGAATGTTAAGAGGACTTTCACTGTAGCCCATTTCCGGCTAGGGTAACATTCTAGCAGGGATTTTAAACCTGGCCAAATAGCGAAATCGAGTGCAGATAGACAGAAAAGACTTCTTAAACAAAATTGACACGGTTCAAAGCTTGCTTAAAGGCACCAGTACTACGAATATCGAACAGATCAGAAAAATTAGAATCAACAAAAAATGTCCACAATTTATTGTGTTTCCAAGCAAAGTTTGGTGCATACAATACAGAAAACACGTAAAACTATAACAAAAAAATCTCGTTCAGTTTATCAGCCCCTTCCATAGTGCCCAGCACTGACGCTGCATTCCCCCGTTGTATTTCCATCGACAACTTGTACTTATGTTTGCTCTTTCTACTTCTACTTATGTTTGCATAAGTACATACTGGTATAATTACACCTATGTACCTGTTCTTGTACTTATACAGTTACACTTACTTGTACTTATGTTTTACTTTTAACACTGTCATATTTGCTATGTACGTATATGTACCAAATTTTTATTTGATTTGTTTCAGTTTTGGGTCCCGATGCTGACGAATTAAAGTGTTCCAAGAAACTACTGAACAACCAAGACACATTTTTTGCTTTTTCTACGGATCCGATGACCACGGAGGAGTGCGACATACAGTTCACGACAAACTGTGTACCACTGTCATATAATAGAAGCGCATGCCTTCTTCAAAAGGCGGTGGAGATCAGCTGCGACCGGGAAGCAACCTCGGAA